CCCGAAAACAAGATTTCGAATGGTTCTAGCCTCATATCCAAACTCAAAGTGTGGAAAAAGAAAAGGGCAAAAGAGTGACGGCTGCTCGTAGAAAAATTACCCAATTTAAAGTTTTAGTCCAATCTTACTTTACCATCATGTTACCACTTCAATCAATGCCCCAAAATAAAACAAGAGGGCTCCAAATACAATAATAAAAATGTTAAGAGCAATCCCACTAGTCTCAGAAATTCAAACTCAACTAGGCAGACCGCTTGAGCGCCCAATCTTGCGCTCGAGCATGCAGTCCAACAAAGCCGTCCACACAAGCGACCACTTCTACGCTCGAGCGGGAATTCACAACTCTCAGAATCTTGGACAAACTGCAAAAATACTGGGAGCCTCACAAGTCTGCTCGAGCGTCAACTCCCCCGCTCGAGCGAAGGGAAAAATTCTGAATCGTTACAACTTTCAGCATACCAAAATCGCCCATTACACGAAGAAGTGAGAAAGCGAGGTAGTGTAGGGCGAAATAGGAAGCGAGGTGGAGAGAATGGCGAAAGAAAGAAGTAGAACCGTCAAGAATCAAGAAAGATGTGAAGTCTGAAAGATGGCTCGAAAAAAAGTCAAAAATAAGAAGAAAAGTCTTATTTTTTTATCAATTTTCGGAGCTCCGATAGCATGCAAAAAGAGAAAGAACGACACATGTGAGATGTGATACGAAGACTAGACCGTGAGTTGAATCCAACGACATAAAAATGAGGTGAAACAGAGTTATGACGAAAGAGATAGAATGGCTTGAAGTGGTGGTTGTTGGTGGTGGTGGTTTGCTGGTAGGAAATTATGGGTCTGCATCTTTCTTTTGAAATTTGGGGACAAAAAGTAATTTTTTTAACTTTTTTCATTTCAAATGTGATGGCATGAGCAAAATTAATAGTAACTTAAATAGTATGGGGATACGCGTGAAAATAAGAGTAGTCTTGGGAGTCATTAAAAATTGTGCAAAAGTATAGGGGTGCAAATAAAATTTGCTCAAGAAATTATCACCAAATTGATTGTGGTTAACTCACTGAGTTAAGGAAACTTATAATATTTCCCTTAAAATCATGGCACATTCCTTATGTGCTTGTTCTTTATTAAAAAATGTTAACAATTATATTTAATTGGACTAAATTGAGATAATCATAAATTCAGGGTCAAAATCTAATCAATTGCAATTATAAGAATAAAAATGACATAAATATCAAAATACAAACACTATCAATATAATTGCTGTTATGTTTTTTCATAAGTTTGATTTTTGGGTAAAATTAATTCAAAAGTGTACTATAATACTTACGTAAGTCTTTAGTAATCCTCACATCATAACGATAAAATTAAATAGAACGCTTATTACACTTTTATTAAATTGGACTATAAGCTTTGAATGGTTATAAATTGATGGGATTTGGTAAATGTTTTATTTTTGTTTTTATTATTGCTGCTGTTGCTGCTGCTGTTTGTTTGTTTTTTTTTTTTTTTTTTTTTTCCCTTTTTATTAAGGGAATTTTTTTTTTTTTTTTGCTGAAGATGCTTTGGGTAAATTTCTTTTTTGCCCGCCTATTTGAGTTGTTTGCAGTTTTTTGTATTCTAGCAGTATGTGCCAAACTGTTTGGTACAATTTCTGCTTATGTTTGGTACAATTTTTGCTTTTTTAAAGGAGGAGATTTTGTAGATCTTCGAGATGATGACTCTGACTCTGACTCTGACTCTGATCCAGAGATGACTAGGGCTAAACAAGTATTCATTCACAACAACAATGGGAGGAAATGCAACAATTTAGACAAGGTACTGTAGGTCATGGATCACAATATGATGCAGGTGGTAGTTTTGGTGTAGGGGATAGTGGTCAAAGAATGCCAAAAGGGCCAGGTATTGCTAATGCTTTTTGTCGATCACAATCCATGCATGAAACTGGTGGGAGTGGATGTAATTGGATTAAGCCCAATGCTCCTGAAGCAAGGTTGAGAGCAATAGATGTAGAACTCTAAAAGAGCAAGAGTACAAAGCAGCGAAAAATCTCTACAATGAATTTACAGAAGTTAGGGAGAGATTGGGACGAACAATTTCCAAGTTTATATTCTATAATCGTATTTATTCAATGCAGTTGATTCAGAGTATACACAACCCATATTTGATGTTGCTGCTAAAGTAGGGCCAGAAGTAAAGGGTCCTAGTGGTTATGAAGTTTCTGAAGTATATTTGGACATGGAGTATGATGAAATGATAGAATGAATAGGATCATTCAAGGGAATTTGGGCAGAGAGAGGTGTATCCATCATGTGTGATGGTTAGAGCAATCTAACTCGGCAACACATCATTAACTTCTTAGTGTACAACAATAGAGGTACTATATTTCACCAATCAATTGATGCCTCTAATATTATTCATAGGACTGTTGAATATTATTTTGGCACGCTTTTTCAAGCAAGCCTCCGACAAACCGTTCAGGAATAGCAGATGGCAAACACTGTGACTTAAGCGCACCAACGCAAATGCAATGCAAAGAAACACGTAAGTGTAAACAAAACAACATATCATGATGTTCGAGTCAAGTTCTCTAAATCCCCAGCAGAGTCGCCAGAAACTGTGGACTCGACTTTCTTCGCGCCCACCTTTCGGAGAACATCGAATTGGTCGCACAGTTCGGACTCCTGTCACGGTTCTGAATCTAATCTCACAAAGTGCAATGTGAGACTGATAAACACCAAAGAGTCCAATCCGGCAAATCTTTTTGGAAAATCGACTTTCGAATCAAATAATGCCAAAACTGGACTGCTTTGCCAGATTACAGAGTCGCCACCTAAATATTTTATTTTTGGAAAATTTAGGAAACCCTGACTCATGCCAAAGGCCACATGTCCGTCATCACCAAAGTTGCCTCGGCTCAGGAACTTGGGTATGAGAGGGGAAGGTCTTGAAATGAGCACCCCCCCTCGCCCGATCAAAGGATCGAACTATACTAAACATGATATGTTGTTTTTATAAACACATGTGTTCTTATTCCAATTATTAGCTAACTGATGCGCACAGTATACAAGTATAGACTAAGTCGCAAGACTTGGAACAAATCAACTTATGTTTTGTTTTCGAAAATGGTTTGAAAATGCCACTCTCAAGTGAGCTAAAGCGCAGATTTGCCATCAAACATGATGGGCTTAAAACATGATTTGCCACTTCGCAAAGTGGGCTTAAAACATTCATTCATTGAATTGTCCCAATTCAAGCAACAAAACCTTCATCCACAGGCATTCATGCAGTTTATCAATTAAGCACATAGCCTCATGGCAAGCATGCGAAACATGGCGACACTCGCACTCATACAAGTATGCTAAAGCGTAAAAGCTTGCCTAGTACTCCAAGCTAGGAAAGAAAACAAGGTTAGAAAAATGCATGATTCCTAACTATGTTAAATGACTAATGCAACACATACAGTAATGCGATTAATAGGCTCGGCTGCTAATATGACATATGATTTGCAACACTTTGATAGCATGCTTTGAAACACGTATTCAAATAAGTATTGAAATACGATGCAGTTTGAATGATGCGCCGAGCCCGGTGCATGCAAGACAAATGAATGATGCACGCATGCAAGCAAAAGGTATGCTAAATGAAATATGCCCTAATTTAACCATCGAAAGTGGTTAAATAAAAAGGAGAAAGACGCGGGGTTGGAAGACATGCACACACGCACGTACACCTATTACAACATTACGCCCTCGCGAAGGAGGTTCCGAATGAATAAGCTAAGCTAATCTAAGCTAACCAATCTAATTATTTTTGTTTTCATTATTGCTGCTGTTGTTTGTTTGTTTGTTTTTTTTTTTTTTTTTGACTTTTAGGGGAATTTGTTTTTTTCTGAAGATGCTTTGGATAAATTTCTTTTTTGCCCACTTATTTGAGTTGTTTATAGTTTTTTGTATTCTAACAGTATGTGTCAGACTGTTTGGTACAATTTTTACATTTTTATTAGGCAGAAAAAACTTAAATAAGTTGAAAAAAAAAAAAAAAGTAGATTTCTAAAAGCTAGGTGACGGGGTGCTTTTGACTTTTATTTTTAGATTATCAATTTTTAATTTACAATAAATTGTACACTATTATTATTATTATGCCAAATAAGAATCTATAGTGACCCTAATTATAAGTCTTTTTATGTGGAAAAAAATGGATTGTTGAAAAGTATTAGATGGATTTTTGTACGCGAAATTAAATTATATGGAAAAAGAAATGCATGACTTTTTTAGAGTCGTAGAAAATTTGGAACTTAATTGGAAGCATAAAAAATTAGAATTTTTTGTGATGTGTGTCATTCAGTATTTAAAAAACCTACCCCACATGCTTTGATTTGTCACTAGCTTTCATAAAAGTTTACATAGAAAGTCTTCTCAAATATGAGTTTTAAGCTAGTCTTCTTTAATTTTGACTTGAAATCTTTAATGACAATAAAATTATGCATCTAGACTTGACTTCATTGGATTTTTTAGAGCTTCATCAACGTTTGCTGGTTTTGGAAAATCACTGGTCCCTGGGTATCCACTAATAAGTTGAATTAAATGAATGTTTGGGGAAAAAATTCCTTTTTTCGATCTTGAAGTTGAATTAAATGATTATAATTACTTGACTGAGATATTTTTAGACTAATTTGCAAACCATGATTAAAGATGGTGGCAAATATCATAAGACATAGTGCTCATGAATCCATTTTTAGAGATATTCTAGATTATGCATTCTCTTATTGTGATAATTTTCATAATAGTAGACAATCTTTAGATGAATATCACATTTCTTTGGAATTCGCATAGTTGTTCCAATAATTGTTAATTAATTCCGTGATAGTTTATTTTGTAATTTCGTTGTAAACTTTCATAATTTTTAATTAATTCCATGGTAGTTTATTTTGAAATTCATCCAGAAATTCCCTCTCAAAGGATAAATAAATTTTATAATTGGTTGTAATATGGAGGGTATTGTTCATTCTATTTGCCCAGAAGAAATAGCTCTCTTCATATCCATTGAACTAAAATAAAATCTTGAAATTCAAAACATATTTATTTCACATATTGTCCATTGAACCTTACAAACCAACAACATCAATGGAGCAACATGACAAACTGAAGAACCCTTAAATATATATAAATATATATTACAATTTAATGGATTACACAGTAGATTTACCTCTACCAACTTGTACTTGGCTTTGAATGTGTCATCTTTCTCCATGTTGCAGCTACCTTCTTTGTTTTCTTCCCCTGTTGACGCATTTTTACACTAAAAATTCTCGCAATCCATTCTTCCTTTCTTTGAGTCATGCAACTTCCAATCGCCAAACCAAGCACTACTCCACATCCATATCCCATGAACACTACTTCCCAACCAAAGCCATCAAGTTCGTACTTACGAGATTGTAAAAATGGTGATTCTACTACTTTGTTCTCTCCACATTTCTTTGACAACGGAAAACCACACAAGCCCGGATTTCCCTCATATGAAGTGTTTGAAAATGTTGCAAATTGTTGGCCTTGTGGTATAAGACCCGTTAGATTGTTTTGAGAGACATCAAAACCTGAAAGGAATGTCAAGCTCGTCAATTGTTGAGGAATCTCACCAGAGAGATTGTTTTTGGATAGATCTAAGGACTCGAGTTCAGTAATATTTTCCAATGTCAATGGAATAGAACCTGAGAGCCCATTTCCCGAGAAATTTAGGAAAATGAGTGCTTTAAGTCTTCCAATTGATGTAGGAATATTTCCATGAAACTTGTTGTGTGAAAAATCAACTGCTTTGAAAATGGTGAGGATTCTTACAAATACCATATCTCGTCCTTTATAAGTAATGGTCATGGAATCAAAATAATAACCACCATTATCGCCCATGTACCTCGATTGAGTTGCATCTTCATCAGCTTTCATCATTGAATTCCATTTCTCAAAGTATTTTGATGGCAAAGTACCTGTAAAATTATTGTGAGACACGTCAATGATATGTAATTTGGTGAAGACTGATCTCTTCCTTGGCTCCGCAATTGGACCATGGAATCCATTATCTTTCATGACAAGAATCTTCAACTGAGGAAGATTTTCCAACCAATATGGAAAAACATCAACTATCGAATTATGACCCACATTCAAAATCTCTAGGTTTGTGCAATTGGCCAATGATCTTGGAAGCTCCCCATGCAATTTATTGTTGCTAACATCAAGGGTTCGCAACTTGCTCGCTTGTCGAAATGTTTGAGGAATGGTTCCACTGAAATTGTTTCCTTGCAAATTTAGTACCAACAAATTTTCACTGAAGTTTACCAAACAAGATGGGATGACACCATGGAATTGGTTGTTGGACAAATCAAGATGTTCAAGAAAACGAAGGTTGCAGATCAATGGTTGGGATTCTTGAGAAGATGATAAGCAAAGAACCAGAGAAAATAAGAGAAAAAACAAGAGGGATTTGAGTTGATAATTTGATATTGAGCGACCCATCTAGTTTACACCAGTATTGAGGTTAGGGAGAGATGATTAATGAGAGAACTGGTGAATTTAGTTTCTTGTATGATGTTGTTTGTTGGTCCAAGGCCTACCTTACCAATAAATAAATTAAATAATAATAAATAAATAAATAACAGAAAGAAAACGTGTAAACCTGCCAATGGATTCCCTTACCAATAAGTAAAATTTTCAACTAACTTCTAAAGAATTTAGCTTAATTAAAGATTTAATAATACTAATTACTATTTTTAATTATGACAATTTACTTAACATTTTATGTGCCAATGATGTATTGGTTTAATGATTTCAATAAAAAATGTGATCACCATAATATTATTATATAATTTAAAAAATAAATGCATAGAAAATCATAAATATTGAATTTACTTAGTAATTTTTTTTTTTTTATTTCTTGCTCATCAGGATCAGTTTCGGTTCGACTAATTCTTGAATACATGTAATTTCTTATCTTCACATATATCAAGTAGCTATGCCTTGGATTGGCCACAAGAAAAGATTGAAAAATGTAACTTTTGAGACTCAATTGAGCTTCACAAATTCAAAAAATAAATATAAATAAATGGGAAAGGCACACTACAAATATTTGATTTGTATGTCACTGGATTGTATATAGACGATGACTTGTAATTATAAGTCTTCGGTGCTACTTTTTTAAGTCTTAGATAATTATTCGGTTATCTAGGTCGGTAGTCTTCATCAATAATAAATTTGACTAAATTGTACTTTACACCCCAAAAATATTACTCAATTCATACTTTGGCTTAAAAAATTTTAAATTTTCAAACACAACCTTAATTTTATATTAAATTTGCTTCATATAGGATACTATTGTCAAATTCTTTAAAGTTGTGTTTGATTCATGGATTTGGGTAGGGATTTGAAAAGAGAAAGAGAAAAATGTGAGTGATATATAACTATATTTCACACACATTTTCCTTGTTCATTTCTAAATCCCTATCCAAATTCATGAATCCAATATAACCTAACAAAACGCATCAAATGGCTTTTAACAGGGGCAAAAGTGGGAAAAGTGTGATACTTGGTGTTCAAAATAAGATTTCAATGAACATTTGATCCAATAAGATTGGCGAATCTTTTAATCCTACAACTAAAAATGCAAAATAAAAATATAATTAGGATTGTATATTTTTACATCTATTGCAAAACAAATGTGGACAAAAAAGTAATATTTACCCATTCAATTGAGTAACAAATTATACACTAATCTCATAAATTGTTAATCTCCATATTAATCCTTCTAATCAAATAGGGCTAAAGATCAAAGTGATAAAAACTTCAACGGCATGTGGAGTGTTTTTGTTAACAAATTGAGCAACGATTTTTTTTTTTTTTGGTCACACGCTATACATCAGAATGTGTTGTGTTAGTATGTTAGTAGGAAAATGAGACCACATAAAATGATATCAGTCTTCTCTCCACATAATTTGAATCCATAATTTTGCTTATAAAATAGTGCTTACACATCTACTAGGCCTGATAAAATTGGACCATAGTAAGTGAAATATATTGACAAAAACCCAATCATTTAGGAACTAAATTTAAATAAATTAATTAATTAAAAAAATTAAAAATCTATAGTTTAAGAACCAATAATACTTGAGGGTAGAAAGAGTAATTTACTCAAACAAATTGACTAGACGTCTTCGATAATCTTAACTTCAAAGTCTTCAATAAGGTTAAATTTGACTAATAATCTTCAATAATGTCAAAATTGACCCAGTCCTTGGCAATCCCTCTTACAAATTTTTTTTCATTCATTCATTCTTTTCTTTCTTTGTTTTTTTTTTTCTTTTTCTATTGACACTACAAAAAATTAAGGTTTTGGGGACCAAAATTTAGAGACAAAATTATTTTTTAGGGACTAAATAATTTTGTTGCAAAAAATGTCGTCATTATATTTTTAGCAATGAAAATTGGATATTAGTGATGAATTATTATCTATTTGGGACCAAATTTTTTATTTCAAAAAATAAACCATTTTGAGGCTAAATTATTATCCCTAAAAATCTATTTATTAGTGACATTTTCAAAATTTTGTCGCTAAAAGTCTTATTTTTTAATTTTTGGGATGACCTTTTAGCAACTATCTTATCGATGACAAAAATTGGTCTCTAAAAGTCTTTTACAACAAAATTTTCACTTTTAGAGATTAAAATATTTGATTTCTAAAACTCTTATATGTTGTAGTGAGAAGCTTGGTACAAATCCAAAGTACAAAAGCAGTCGTAGTCTTTGACCACTCATTGAAACTGTACATTGTGTAATTATGTAAATTTAACTTGAGTAACCTTCACTCCAACCATGGCTTAATTAGTTATATCCATAAATTTTGTGATTTTTCTCTCTTGTAACTTTGGTATTCGTAATTTTAATTATATTAGTTTTTCCCTTTAATTTTTTTAAAATATATCAATTCAATTTAATTGATAATGTTGATTAAAAAATAAGATAAAAATCAAGAAATTCATTTTAAATTAGACGTGAACCACTCAATCACTTTAGGAAGAGTTGATTTTGTCCAATTTCTGAAAAAAATATATACATTGTTAATTAGACTAAATTAATATAATGTGAAAAATTTAAAGATAAAATTGACATAATTAAAACCGTAAGAACTTAATTGATACAAGAGACAAATTATAAAGATTATATGTGTAATTTTCTCAAATAAAAACAATAGCAACTTGATGCTGCTAGTAAGAAAATTATTGTATAATTTCAAAGTACTATGTGGTATTGTTTACATGGTATTTCTATCAAATGAGAAATTATAATTCACATTAGAAAAATGCTTGGGAGCACTAAAAAGGGAGCACTAATGATGTGTCAGTGGGTCCTGCCCACTTTCTATGCCTTGTTTTTTTTTTTGCAATTCCCAATGCATTAGTGCTATTAGTGATGTATTTTTTAATGGTCTAAATCATTGTTGTTCACATTAAGTGAATCATCCATTATCTTCTAATTATCTAATAAAAATCAGTCACTATATCTCATTCATAAGATTTCTTGATATACCGTTAATTTAAACATCATCTAAGCAATGTCATTCAGTGTTTGGGAAATACCAGTGCCGTTGATGATGATGATGTGATGTTGTCAAAATGTTGGAATGTTGGGTCTAGAGAGAAGGTTTGGTTTAATTGTGAATATGAATTTAAAACATATAATCATGTTAGGAGGTGTGTTATATGTAAATTATGAAATGTGGGAGGTTAAAATAAAAAATAAAAAAAAAGGGTTATAATCACACATTAGATTAGATATAAGTAAAATAATATTATAATTAATATTATAATAAATCATAATTAACACCTCAATGTATATAACCAATCATAGCCAGTCCAAAGTTAAAGCTAGTGAGGCTTGTGCTATGACTCTCAAATTTTGGCCCAAAGCAAGACCCTCAAATTTGTTGGTTCTAACTCATATTATAAGTTCAAAGCCCAACCATTTTTTTATTATTTGACGCCCAGTCTAACACGTCTGTTAGGCCTAATTCAAAATTTATATAATTAGTCCAAACAAATATATATGATATAATGAGTTCAAATAGAGTCTATTGTTAAGATTTTAATAGAATAAATAACTTTATCTTCATTTTTTCCCCTCTTTTTATCATATTTTAATTAAATAATTTTACCCTAATTTTTTCCCTTAATTTTGTTTGTGCTCTCTTTACCATAATTTAATGAAATAATTTTACCTTAATTTTTTCCGTAATTTTTTCAATAATTTGTGTTTTGCTATCAAATAATCATTTCATCACATATTAATGGATTATGTCTTGATTATTGCTTAACTATACAATAACGGTACTATATTTTATCCTTTTTGAGTCTTGTAATGATTTCTTTGTATCTTAATATATAAAAATAAATTTTAATGATTATAAATGTAAGGAAACTTTTTGTGACTACTAACCAATAAAAAAATTTATTGATAATTATTATTTTATCTATAAATTTTTTATAAGAAAAATATTTATATATATGGAGTTCCACTTTCAAAATCCGCCTAAGGCTCTATAAATCTCAAAGTCGACCCTCTATAACCAAGTTATAACTAACACCACACTAAATTCTAATCCAAAATCACAAATATCGTAACTGAAGTATATGATATACACTTCATAGAATTATCACTATATATGTGTGTCTTGAGTCTCATATTGAGTAAAAAGCTACAAAACATTTTTGCATTTTATTGTACCACTCTTGACTTTTAATAAATTCTAAATGACGAATCACGCCTGTTGTTCGAGTCATTTATAATAAGATTTTGTTAACGCATATTTTTGGGACACATGTTAAGATATTTTATCTGTATGTACATTGTGCATGAAGTGGCTATAATAAAAAATATATATAGTTCTTTTACATTTTCTTATCGCGTGTCTTAAGAACACATGTAAACAAAATCCTTTAAAATATACAACTTTATTATAATCATCAAAAGCTAGGGTGAGTGTTTTCCATTATGGTAGAGAATGTGGAAGTTTGGCACTCTCAATCATGGTCAAATTTTCTGTTTTTTTTAAACATCATGTGAATTTTCACCTCCCAAAAAGAGGCCAATATGGTAGGATGTGGAAAGTTTGTGGGAAGTAGCCTAAGCGACACGCCCACCCACCAAGGAACAAAGTGAGTGCCGTGTCCTTGATGTTCCATGTGCAACACACTGGATTTGAATTTAACAAGAATTAAAAATTAAAAACAAAGGAAAAGTCTTCCATAAATTTGCATTACGGTGGAAATGGACCCAAAAAATTCGAAGTTAAGGTTTGAAAATCTTTCATCTAACAAAAAACAAAAAAAACAAAACACAAAACGATTTGGTATTAAAAATAAATAAAAATTATGAGATTGAGAAAATTAACTAAATAAATGGAATTGCGATTGAGAGTTGTTTTGAGATTGATTTTTTTAGTAATTTTTTGATATTTTATGAAAAAAAATAATTAAAAATAAAGAGAATAATTTACTTTTTTATAATAAGTTTATAGTTAAAAGTGTTACTTCTTAAAATAGGTCATGTAGATTC